TTCACTGTATCTATCTTGCTACTTATCCCAGCTATTATGCCTTTTGTTTCAATTACTGTATTTTTCATAGTTGATATTTCCACTTGGTTGTTCTCGCGTCATATTACTAACACCCCCCTTATCAAATTTCTGACACACCAATGGAACCAGCTTGTGCTGCTGGCCCTTTCCTCCAAAATTAACTCTTGGCAAACTACAGACGTACTGAAGACAAAGAAGCATGGACGTGAAAAACTAACCTGAAACTGAGAACACCCTGAGAAGACCAAAGGCTCTCGTGAGTGAGAGTGTGAGCAAGGGGATACCAGAGAATGGGTGTCCACAACCCAGGGTAGGAAAGGGTAGGTCAGGCGAGAGCTTGTAAAGGAGCCTTGCTCTCCAATCCCTGCCTCGTCACCACAGCAAACCTCAGCCACAGTCCTGTCAGTGTGGTGGTAGCAGAGAGAGTGAGGGGAGCTAATCTGAAGGTAGCGCAAGAAGAAAAAAGCAGCACGTACCCAGTTCTCATTACTCATCGTGGCTGTGTCCTAGAAGTCACCACACACACTGAACTAGCAAATGCCGAACCATGCTCTCAGAGGAAGATACAGGGTTAGGTTCCTGGAAACCTCTGGTCACGATATTTTGATCAGCTGATCAATTCGTAACCTTGTTTTATGTGTTTCTGTTTAAAGATGCCTAACCTGAGATACATTGTTGATGCATTAACATTGAACTCATGGCCCACAGGCCGTAACTTATGCCTCAATGAAGCTTCTTTGACACATGGCTTTTCTCCATGAGGCACATGGAGCTTTCTTGCCCTTAGAAACACTTGACAGCACTTCAACACTGTTATGGACTAAATTGTGTCCACCAAAATTTATATGTTGAAATCTGAATCCCAGTGTGACTGTATCTGGAGATGGAGGAAGATTAAAGACTGAAATCTGTGTGAAAAGGAGGGGCTTAGTGGCTGTGGACTGCACTCTTGGTGAAGTCTTCTTCATCTAGTTTGGTGGTTTTACTAAGAAACCCTGGATGTCAGTGTCTTAGGTCTTTTTTCGATTAAGATTTTTTGATAAGATTTTTTTGATCTGAGAAATCTTTTCCAATATCCTGCCTAAAAATATCTTGAATATTCTTCCTATTTTCTGCAAGCTGGGTGGGGTAACAACTCAGTCCCAGCATTCAGTAGGTAAGGTGTATTTAACCCCTCTGTTTTCAATTGTGCTTCTGTTGGTTTTTTTTCCCCCTTCTTCTTCTGTTCTCTTTGTCCTTGTGGTTTATGTCTTTTACTTTTGTTAAGTTTAATGTTACATGTGTTGGTATTCAGAAGGGAGTAGAGGATGGTGCATGAGTTAAGCTGCTATTCCTAACCAGAAACTCCCCTGCCTTACCGTTACCCCTGCCCTGTTCCCTCCCTGAAGACCGCTCCCTGCAATCCTGGTATTGCCTTCGCCATCCACGTCCATGTGGCTGGGCCTGCTGCATCTGTTCATCTGGGACCTCCAGGGCTGCATGACTGCTTAAGTCCATGAAATTGATCACCATCTCCCAACATTTGCTGTAAGTACCTTCCCTATGCCAGCCCTGACCAGTGGGTCAGTCTCACACTCTATCAGAGGTAGGCTATCAGAAAGACCAGAATTTCCCCTGCTTCCCCTTCCCGTGCTCTTTATTACTGTGAATAGACCACCCTCCTATGTCTTTAAACTTTGTCTTGTGGAGTAATGTCCAGATGTGTTATCAAGGTGGCCCTGCTTATGGGGCCAAGAAGGTGACCACAAGCTGGTGGCTCAATCTAGGCTTCATGGGGCGGAGCCACAGTCCTTTTCTTTAGCTTTAATACCCCTGGTGTGGGATTTTACCCATCTGTCCCACATGGCCAGATGTTAGGAAACTAACCCAGGTGAATCACACAGCACACTAAGTCACCTCACAGAGTGCTTATTTATTAATTTGTAATAGGCTGTGTCTCTTTCCAATAACTGAGCCATTTACATCTTCTATCCAGGGTACTTCTCAGGTTCAAGCCAGAAAGAAGCTCACAGTTATCAGATGTCTTCTGCACACCAGGACATCCCAGTTACATTTATATACATTATTTCTAGTTAACCCTGGGAGGCGTTATCCCCATTCTACAGATGAGGAAACCAGTGTTCAAAGAGACTGAATAAATTACTCAAGCTTGCAAAGTGAGATCAGAGCCTTCTGATTCCAGTACTTGTGGACCTCCTCCTAGTTTGAACCGGAGGACCATAGAATGAGACACAGAGATGAGATGGGGTTCATGTCACACTGAGTTCAAGGGTCAAGAAAGGCCTCTTTGATGACCCTCAATGTGAGTCCTGAAAGAGGAGTGTGGACAGGTGAAGAACCAGGTGAAGAATGTGGGCAGTGGGGTCAGCACTTAAACCCATGAAACTGATCACCATCTCCCAACATTTGCGTAAGCACCTTCCCTATGGCAGCCCTGACCAGTGGGTCAGGACATTCAGTCAGCACATTCCCTGTGGTGGGGAACACACGGGTGAGCTTGAGGAACCATGTGGCTACAGCCCAGCCAGCACAGGCGAGCCCTGAGGAGCCCACCCTAGAGATGGCGCAAGTAAGACTGAGATGAAATTACCAGTCCACAGCCAAGGTCCCCTTGGAGCTAGGCTGACCCAGATGCTAGGGTCAGATTGCTTTTAGGGAAGCTGGAAGGATATCAGAAAGACTGGACTTTTCCATCTTCATGTGACACTCTGGGAAGTTCCTGTGCCTCAATTTACCTAAATATATTCTCCAGCCAGGCTGAGTTCCTTGTAGTAGAAATTACCTGCAGAGGACTAGTAAAGTAGATTGTCACTGTTTTTCTTTTTTTTTAAATCTATAAAATCCTCAAATAGGACCAGTCACTGGTGGTTAGTAATTGGAGGACCAGTAGACCTGGGGTTCCCCACTTGAATAAGCATCAAAATTATTATTGTTAAAAATAACAGAGGCCCAGGCCCAACCTAAGCTACTGAATCACCAGCATTTTATTTTTTGCAGCCACTCTGACCGCTTCTCAGAAAGTCCACGCTCTGGGAAAGGCGGAGCGGGAGGTAGAGGTCACACAACCCCAGCAGGGGTGCCTGCAGCACAGAGCTCGCTTTCCGCCTCACAGCGGAGGTTCCAGCAGGCCGGGGAGCATCCCTTACATATGTAGTTGCTTCATATGTTTGCTTCCTTTTCCCTCATCCATCAAGACTGTACTCACCCATTGAATCAATTGGCTTAGTGATATAAATTTTTTTCAATGAAGTGGTATGGGCGATACGGAGAAACGGTCAACGTCTTCATGAAGCTTACTAAGTGTGCATTTTATCAGTTCTAAAATGCACTTTTTCCACATTTTAACACCTCAGAAATGAAATTGGGCATAACATTGAATGTGTCTGAGCATTTGTTACAATGTAACTGAGAATGTTTTTTCTTTCTTATGGCTTAGGAAATAATGGTGCCAGTTAAAATCAGTAGTTATCTTCAAATTGATGAAATATGGTAGTGGGAAAAGGAACAACACACTTACATAAACAGGTAGCTGGCAAGAGCTTTGCTCATGCTTCTCCCTCTGCATGAGTAATTCTGCACTTCTGCTTCATCAGTTCTACTAACCAATTACAACTCAATTCAAATGCCACCTCCTCCAGGAAGCCTTCTGTGTCACCCCAGCCCCACTACCCAATCTGGATTCCAAGTTCTTCCTTTGGGCCCCTGTGCTGGCCTCTAACGTATGCTTATCATGCTGTGTTACATTTATCCTGTTATCAGTCCACCGCTCCCCCAACTAGATGGTGAGCACCTTGAAAGCAAAGATGCAAGGTATACCTCTGTGCTCCTAGTACCTGGCACAGAGCCTGGTTTACAGCAGAAGTTCAATAAATGTTTGTTGAATGAGTAAATTCTAAAGGGTTGGATAGTTACAGGCCATAGATGTTCTGACCCATATGTGAGACCACAGGATTTCAGAAGAAAGGCAGAGTGCAGGGCTGGAAAGGCTGAGGAGGGCTTCTGGGAGGCAATGGGTTAGGAGCCATTCTGGCAGGATGGCTGGTGGACTCACTCAGGGCTGCAGGGAGGAATGAAGACGTGGGCAGTGCTAAGACCTTCATTTCTCTTACTAGGTGTAGATCTGTGGTGACTGTCACTTGACTGGATTTTGTGTTTAATTTCAGGAAGCTATGGGCCTCAACAACGTTCAACATTATTCTTAATAATTAACTCTAGGTGCTAAAACAATAGATGCTCAGGTTCAGAGAAAAGAGCAGTTCAACCCTCACTGAGTTCTCACAGGAAGTCCTGAATACACATAGATTTTGTGGTTTAGACCTCAGAGCTTCCTGCCAGAGCTTTACAAGCTTTAGCAAGTCTAAGCAGCCAGGAGAAGGCGGGCGGATGGGACCACAAACAACATGGTACCAACATTTCAAAGCAGGTGCCTTCTTACCATCTATTGATTTAGAACCTCAACTGTAAACTGTTTTTTTTTTCTCCCCCACTTCCCCCAAAGTACAGCTAGCATGACTGCTTGGTGCTGGTGGGGTCTGACCTTTTAATAATGGTCACTTAAGACTTGGGATTTGATTCAACTGAATTGTCTCTTAGCTTGCCCTCTGGACATTGTCTGGGAGGCTCACAGAACCCCAGTGTTCATGGAGCCCCCTCTTCTGAAGGAGAGGTCTACAGATCACTGTGATCGCGTCTGAGCAGTCAAGGAAATGAGACCCAAACAGTTACGGTTTCTGGTGTTTCTCGTTGAAGTTTGCTCATAAAGATTTCAATTCGTTATATAAATCTACCAATAGGTTGTGGGTCCAGCTTTGCAGCTGAGACCTGGGGAGTGGATTCTGGTTGTTCTAGTGGGGATTAAGGTGGCCCAGTTAAACTGGGGTGACCCAATTTGATCCTGCTGTCACACCCCACTAACCAGTCTCTTTTGCATTCAGCAGCTGGATGTTGGGCTCCTTTCTAACAATGAGTAAACACTGTGGTCAAGTCAAGGCTTTTATTTCACTTCTATTCCTGAGACAGTGAGCAGCTGCCCATCAGGCACATAAGAAACCCAACAGTGTCCCAAACAGGCAGACTGCTCGCAGGGAGACACAGGCACAGCGACCGCTTGACATCTGACACCTGCACGTGGTCTGAGGCGATCTCTAGGATTTTGTACTTAGTCACTGATCATCCTAATATTTGCATTTTTATTATTTTTCTCTTCCTGGTGTGGTAGAGGTCTGTGTGGAGGCCAGAGATGCCAGATGTCAGATCAGGTGGCTGAGTCAGAAGGTGCAGACGTGATAGTGGCTCCTGAGCTTGGGAGCTGGCGATCAGGGTCTGCTCATAGAACACCCGTGATGGAAGTGCGGGCGTACACATCTGGAGTGGAGAAATTCCACAGTGCCTTCTCCAAGAAAGGACCATTCCTATTGCTTTTCATTAGAAGAAGGTGGCAACTGAGTGAGGAGACAGTTACACGTTTTCTTCGGCTTCACGGAGAGGTTTAGATTGAACTCGAGGCTTGGGGAGGGGAGGGCCTTTTTGCTGGTGACCTTGTGTTCCCGGGGTAGGAGGAGGCCTCTTTTTCTGTGCGTGCTGGACACGGGGGCCAGGAGGCCCGGGACGATGAGCAGGTGCCTGGGGGCGATGAGCAGGTGTTTGGGGACGATGGCCAGGTGTTGGAGGAGTTTGGGACATGGCTGGATTTGGAGGAGTTGAACCTGGAATTTGGTAGGACTTCCGTCCCCTTTCCTCGGCAGGGGTCACTCTATTCACTCCTGTCTCCAGCTCCTCATCTGCAACAATAAAAACCTCTGAAGAGTTTTCTTGGCAAGATATGATCAAGATCAGTGCAACTATTTACTGAACATGCCTCCTATGTACAAGGCGTCATGCCAGCTACTCTGGTGCACGCAATGAGGAAGCAGAAGCCACCTCTACCCTCCAGAGATTCCAGGTCTTGAAGGGGAGACAGAAATGCCCACCATCAAGGGAGAGTGAGAGTCCAAGGCTTTAGAAAACTCAGGGAGCCAAAGGCGAGATGTGTGAAAGGCTTTGGGTCTCTCGAGAACAAAGTGGGCACCCAGACCCCAGAGCCCTGACTCCGAGTCACCCCAGGGGCCACACCTTGAGAGCACCTCAGGGTTCTAGCCCTTGTCATGGGACCTAAGTAGTCAGAGAAGACATTGTCAACTACCTGCCTTCAGGTGGGTCTTTCTGTTAGATCTGCCTTTCCCCCAGTTCTCCTGTAATGTGACCCACATTCATTCTGGTGAGGGGTTGGGTTATATGCAAGGAGTTTTTAATTCTTAGAAACAATAGTTTCCCAGAAATTCATAAGCAAGTGCCGTCCTCTTGGGCTTGGAAAGAAAAGAATTCCTCCTCTGGTCACCCCTCTGGGATTTTCTGCTTTCTGTGATGGCAGCCCATGAAGACAGGCCCACGACTCACAGTAATGTAATTTTTCCTTTGCTGTTTTAAAATCACACAGGAAATCTGTGCAGATGCTCAGATGCTCTAGGCCTGGAGGTTCCCGCTGGCCCTCTGGCCTCCGTTGGGCTACAGGTTGGGTAATCTGGTCCCTGTGCCCAAAGCCATCATTGCAGTGCTCTGGAGAAAGCTCGGAAGAGGGGCTCCCCTGGGGTGCATGAACCACCGCTCACGTTGGTGCAGGGGTATGCGGCTTAGGAAGCACACGCCCGCTCTGAGCATCGTCCTGCAACTTTGGGTGCTAATGCCAGTTCAGACGGCCTCTTTCAACTGCTAGAAATCCAGGCCTGGGGGCTTTAAATCTGAAGACTCAAAGTCAAACGTTGTGGTTTTGACGTGGAGAGGCTGGTGTGCTCGAAGCACAAAAAGTAAAATGCACAGAAAAGGAGAAACAGTTTCTGTGCCACCTTTGGTGCCTCCAGGTAGCAGAGGTCAGGCCAGGAGGCCCCGGAAAGTGCTCTGGCAATCCCAGTTCCCAGCTGCAGGGCAGTGGGCGGTCCTTTTGCATCTCCATACGGCAAGCTTGGGCTGGCCGTTTGCTTACTCTTCTGTTCACCCACTGTTTTGTTCATTTGGTTTTTGAACATTTTCCCCCCATCTTCTAGGTGTTAGGTGCCACTGCTAAGTGGCAGTGATGGCTCAGACACAAGCATTGTCCTCAGGAAGCCAAGTAAGTGGCTGCAACGAACCGACACTGCGAATCACAGTCAGTCTCTGGTGAGGACCCAGGGCCACCAGAGAGGTGCAAAGAGCCCCATGAGTTCTTGGAGGAGCGGGGTGTGGCCAACTGGCTGAGGCCTCAGGCTGGCTTGGCTCTGTGCAGCCTGCCGGGTCAGAGGAGGACGGGGGACCTGGAAGCCCATGCCTGCAACTTCAGCCCCTGCCCACATGGCTGCTTCGTGGAATTCCTCCAACCTCAGTGCTCTCCTCCCTCCCCATATCTCCTGGTTACTCAACCCTGGGCCAGGACTAGATTGAAGCAAGCAGACGCCAAGGGCACAAAACCAAAGAAGGCCTAACTCCTGGGGTTGTGCAAGGGCAGGGTCAACTCTAAGGGGGAAGATATCCTCAAGTTTTGCACCCTGAGCTCCGGGTTCACCTTACCCTCATCCTAACTCAGCCTCCTGGCCGTAGAATTTGGGGCAAATCATTTGACCTCATTGAATTAAACTTCTGTGTCTGAATGAATATTATCTATCTCATAAGATCACTCAGAAAGTTGAGTGAGATAATGAATATAAAGAAATATATATATAATATAAATATATTACAGAGATCAGTGCCTGGTACAGCCAACTGCTTTGTCAACTTGAGCCAATCATCACGCTGTCCAGTCAGCCTGTTGAAAGTAGAGATTGCCTTGTCTTAGGTGACATGCAAGGTCCACCTTGGAAGGATGCGTGATCTTTGACCATTAGGCAGAGAAGGAAAGAGCCCCTGCAGGGGGATAGGGGGCCGAGAACTGCCAGAGCAGGGCCCAGAAGTGAGGAGGCTGTGGGTGCCGATGGGTCTCCACCAACAATTCTGTTCCCCTGGAGCGGAGAGTGTGTGTGAGACGGTGGTGGAAGCGCGGGGCCATGCTGGGGGCAGGGGTGTAGCGGGACATGAGGCGGAGGGGCAGTGGCCTGAAAGAGGCCTGGGGAAAGATGTCTGATTTGAAGAAGCCAGAGCCAAAGGTGGTTCAAGGCCACCACTGCCTGGGCAGGTTCAGACCAGGTCGTTCTTTGGGTGGTCCAGGCGGCAGCTGGCAGGGACACACTGGGCCTGCTCCTGGGAGAGACCCCGTGTAGGGGACCCAGTCCTGCTGTGAATGGGAACTTGCACAGAACCTGAGGGACCTGCCCGCCTGGCCGCATGTCCTGCTGATGGCTGGGCAACCCTTGAAGGACCCAGCTGCAACATGGGGTCCCAGCACCCCTGTCCCAGCATCCACAAGGACACCATTATCCAAACATGCTGCCTCAGTTGGCCTGGATACCCCCTGAGCCAGCTCCCCACTTATGAACATAACATTTTCATTCTTGGTGGGTTGTCAGGCCTGATTCAAGGAAGAAACATTCTGCAGCCCTAACATACCCCCTCGGAACAGCCAATTGGAAAGAGGTATTAACATCCAGCTTGGGAACAAATGTATTCCTGTGAGTCCCCGGTGCCCTGAAATTTTACCTGTATTCCCAGGAGCTTGATCCTCAACACATCTTGGCCACCCCCTCAGGAGAGGACGAGATGTTTGTTCATGGAAATGGAGTTTTGAAGCTAATCTTTTTGCACACGTAGATATACGTGGCTCACTGGAAATCTGTCCACAGAGCCTCACACTGAGTCAGCCTCAGGTGGTGGATTCCAGTGAGGCCGCCTGGATTCAGCTTCTCAAAGCTCCCACATTGTCACCACCGAGAATTTGTTTTTCAAAAATCAAGCTAACCACAAAATGGAACAAACTGTAACCGCCAGTTACAGCCCTGACATTCTGAAACTACCCGTCTCCATTATTTTCTTTCCAGACTCTGAGTGCCAGCCCCATGAGTTGTTTCCACGGGGATTTCACGCGGGCCTGCAGGGGGACGGCAGGGGGGGAGCTTACCGTTTCTCCTACGGCTCTGTTTTTTCCTCTTGCTGATGTAGAAAATGAGTAGTGCCACAAAGACAAGGAAGACGGTGCCTCCTCCGCAAATGCCAATGATGAGATAGATATCCAGACCTTTCTCTGCAAGAGGAATGGACGTGGGATGGAAGGGGTGGTCCTGGGCAGAGGGCCATTTCTCTGCTCTGGCCAAGGACTCTTGCCTCCTGCCGTTCAGATAAAAGAGCTCGATGTGACTTCTACTCTCACAGAGGCCAAGCTCACGGAGGCTGGTGGATTCTGTCACTGCCTGAAGGGGCACCGGGTCCAGGCTAAGCCCCTCCAAAGGCTCCTTGGAGGACTGCTCTCCTGGACCAGAGATGCCTGATTCTTCATGTGCCAAGGCGCTGTCCCCTGCCCCGTATCAGGGAGAACGTCACAGAAGTTTAGATCTGAGAAAGAGTTTAGAGACTAGCGTCACCTCTAGCTTCGCAGACAAGGCCCAGAGAGGGAGGATGAGTTGCCTGAGGCCACACTGTGTCCTTTCCTGTGTGATTCCTTTAAGCAGTCCCTCATCTCCATGTTTCTGCACTATTTATCCAGCTTCATTTCTGGCTGCCCTCCTACAGCATGATTTTTTCCCTAACCCTCTTGACCAGGCAGTTTCCAAAGACTTGGGGGACATGTTTCATGTGTCCAGCCCAGCTCTCTGACCACAGATTTTCCCCAAACTGTGAGAGAAACTCAGACACACAGTGAGTTAGCAGCAGGTGTTGACTAGACCGTCAGCCCACAGACCTTCAGTTGCCCTAATGCAATGAGGATAACAATGACTTTGTGTTAAGAGAAATGGCTCTGAGTGCAGGCTCTTCTAGACAAGAGCTGTGTGACCTTTGGCAAGTTATTCTACCTCTCTGAGCCTGTTCCTTTCTTTGAAAAATGGAGATCATGCACTTAGATCACAGGTGACTGTTGGAAGTCAATCAGATAATGAATGTGAAAGTGCTTTGTAAACTGTAAAACTATGCGAAGACAAGGGCCTGCTCTGACTACAGCTCTGTGCACCGGCGTTTCTGGGAGCTGTTTCCCGGGAGGGGTGCTGGGCCGCCTGCCCCTTTGTGAGTCAACAGCAATCAGAGAGGCAGCAGCTGGGGGCAGGGGTCAGGGTGCTCGTACATCTGGAGAACAAACGGAGCTCAGCTCAAAGTCACAAGGAAACCCTTCTCTGGCCAAACGTTCCTAGGAAGATGCTGTTGCACGTGAAGCGAGGCTGGGCCCAGGAGCAAGCCAGAGGCTCAGAAACCCAGCTACACAGATGTTCCGACGGCAGTGGTTTGTCGATCCTTGCTTTCTTTCCCAGGTCTCTCTCTGACCCAGAGACATAGCCTCTCTATGCGCTGTGGATGAAGGGGCTTCCCCTAGAGAAACAGGCATAATCCTAACCTTCTGTGAAGCTGGGCAGGGAACGGAAGGGGGATCCCTTAGGCTCTGCCTGCTCGGAGGAAGGGCCAGGGCCGATGGCGGCCGCCTCGGGCTGAGCCGAGGACTTCCCGGGGTCTGGCCCAGAAGGCTGGGGGGGCCCAGGGCAGGCCTCGGACAAGTTGGGAGCATCGGGCTAAGCCATACAGCCACTTGCTCGTCTTCTCTGAGTCCTCAGACAGGGTGACCACACCCTTATCTGGGCACCCTGGGGAATGTAGGACACAGTCTGGTCACAGGTGTGTCCAGCCAGTCCCTCCGGGTGCTTTCTGTGGGGGACGATCCAGTGTGTCTTGGACGGAGGCAGCTGTGGCTCTGTCATTCAAAACTGTGTTCTCACAGTCGCTAAATCCAGCCACACTCCTTCCTAGACTCCTCCTTGGAGATAACGTGCCCGTGAATTTACATGGGGGAGTCCTTCCTGGGTGTCCAGACCTGCGCCTTCACCCTGGTATTTTGCTTCTAAGTTCATACTCGTCTCTTCTGAGCCAAGTGGTTAAGTCTTGTCATCGTCCTCTCTGCCTTGACCTTGGCCTTTTATTTTTACTTTTAAAAATATTTTATTTATTCACTTTTTGTTTTGGTTTGTTGGGGGTAATTAGATTTGTTTGTTTGTTTGTTTGTTTATTGTAATGGAAGTGCTGGGGATTGAACCCAGGACCTCGTGCATGTAAGCACACACTCTACCACTGAGCTGTACCCTCTCCCTGGCCTTGGCCTTTTAGGATGAAACCCTTTAAGGGTCCTCAGGAGCAGCCTCGTCCTCCCCAGCTTCCCCCTAAGTATTCCTCCCATCTCTCTAGTGGCTCTTTCTCAGGCTAGCTCCACTCTGCCCCACAGAATAAGGGACATGAAGGTTCTAGGCGTCAAACCTTGGCTTCCTTCAAAGCCCTTCCTCCCTCCGTCCAGCCCTACTGCGTGCGCATTCTTTTTTTTTTTTCAACTGTTGGGATCTAATTAAAGTAAACATGGAGTAGGGTTGGCAGCTGAAATACACAGGATGCCCGGCTAAGTCTGGATTAAACAATGAATAATTTTGAGTATAAGTATGTCCCACGCAACATTTGGAACACATTTACACTGCCTTTTTATTTGCTAAATCTGGCAACTCTAATCAAGGGCCTCCTGAAAGGGGACAAGAGCTTGAGTAGTCGAGAAGGGGCCGTTCATTCACTGTGTCATAGTGACGCGGTGTAGGGGGGACACAGGGATGACAGGTGGACGAACAGGAGGTGAGGGCATGCTGCTCTAAGCGTGTGACGGGCAGACCCTAGGAGGGTCCCCATTGATCCCAGCCTCCTGGTCCTTCCTGCTGGGTGCAGTCCCCCCCTCCCGACTGAATGTGGGCTGGCCTTCCTGAGTGACTCTTCGTGGACAGAACATAGCAGAAGTGACAGGATCTCTTTCGCTCCTGAGATTAAGCTGTAAAAGACCATGGCTTTTGTCTCGAGCACTTGCTGTCGCTCTCGCTCTGGCTGCTCTGAGGGGAGCTGCTGCCACGCTGTGAGGCGGCCCAGTGCCCCCCCCGCCCCCAGTAGCGCCTGCACCTGACGGATGTGGCTGCAGCCCCTGCCAGTATCTTGACTGCAGCTTCGGGGAAGACTGAGCCAGAACCATCCCACTAAGTCACTCCCAGATTCAGGTCTCACCAAACCTGCAAGACAGTAACTGCTGGATGTTTTAAGCCACTAAATATGGGGCCATTTGTTATGCAGCAGCTGGTAACTTATTCAGAATGTGCATAAAAAAGCCTTAATTCTGACTTCACACTAGCTCGGGCTGCTCCCTAGGGTCACTGACCAGACATAGTCCATGTAGAAACTCAGGGCCTCTGGCCAAATAAGTATTTTTTGTTCAGTTTTGCTACAAGGGGGCTGACAAGACAGCGTTGGAAAAATAGTCACAGCGTATCAGATGAGTGACCTCTCGGGGTTCATAGGGCTTGTCTTCTGTGTGGACCAGAAGGCTGAAGCCCAGAGACAGGCAGAAACTCTGTCCAGGTCATCTGGTCCATTTGGACAGACCAGGATAGAAGTCTATGCTTCTGGCTCCCAACCCAGAGCTGAGTTCTACAGCAGGCTGCCTCCCAAAAATTATTTCTGGGGGTCGTGCCAAACTGGAGGTCCAGGGAAGAAGAACTTAGACTCCTGGAGTCAGGATTTCCTGGTGCTGGCACCAACGCCGGGCTGTCTGCTCTGAGGCAGGGAGAGCGTTCCTACACTGGTTCACGGTCCTCCCTGCCCTCAAGCTCTTCCTCTCCCCAAGCCCCTAACTCCCAGGGTTTCCACAGCCTTTCTGCCCCCCGTCTCTGATAGGAGGTGCTGGCCATCTCCCGTCCAGAAAGCAGTCTTTTTGCTCCCTTCTCCATCGTTGCCCTAGGAGTCGCAGTCATGGTCACTGACTAGCCAAGGGATCATGGGCAAGTCAGTTTGCCTCTCTGGGAAGTTTATCTCTGTAGGAGATAAACTTTGCAGCTCGTTTATCTCTCCCATTTGACAATTCTTTCTCCTAGAAGAGAATCTTCTGAGTTGCCTGAGTTTAAATTGCGCTCGGTGGGAGGACTCCCAAGATGGGTAACCCCAGAACACTAACTCCTCTCTCCTCTAAGGCGTCCCTTGAAGGGTTCCAGGGGAAAGAGGTATACTTTCAGGTCTCATCCTGAGCCAAGGCTGCCTCCCAGCTCAAGCACCCATGCCCTGGAGCAGTCCGCTGCTGTGGGCCTGGAAGGCTGTGTTTGTGAAGTGAGCTTAAGGTGTCTGCCCAGTGACCACTACGCACCTGAACACCTGATGGGCATCGCGTTCGTTTCCTTGCTGACTTCGTTACTTGACACGCACTTGACGGATGCTTTCCATTTGGTGTTCCACCTGTATTTGATGATCTGCTGATCTTCCCTGACCTTGGACTCATTTATGTACAGTTCTAATTTAGAGCCGTTTACTCTTGCTGCCTCACAGATCAGGGTTCTGTTGGTGCAACTCCAGGAGATCACTGGTTTTGAGACCATCTCTGAAACGAAAATAAAGATCCAACTCATACTAGGCAATTTATGGATTGTAAAAGATGTACCTGTTTATACAGGGGAAAGTGAGTGAGTTTGGGGCCAGCAAGCAATTTCGAAGACCCCTAGCTATTGTCAACAGTCATTTCTATTCTATTTTATTTATACGGCACATTCAGAACACATTTATTTCCGATAGTTTATAGATACATTATATTAGTAAAAAAAAAGTCATATCAAATATTTATGTGCTATTTTATATCTTAAAATGTGTCCACATGTATGATCACATTATTCTAAGGAACAGAGAGGCCAATGTTTTCCTTCCTGTTTACAGATGAAGTGCCCAAGGGTCTGAGGTTAAATGGATGGTCCAAGTGTACACACTGATAAATGGGAAGTCAGGAGAGGAGCCCACTTTTCCAAGTCCATGGTCAGTACTATGGGTAAAGGGTTTACCACGCCCGATCCCCTTATTCTCAGGTGCTAGGATGCGGGGCTGGGGGCTGGGTGGGCAGTGTATTTAGTGCAGCTGGGAGCTTGACCTTGAGGAATTGGTACGCGTGTGGCCTGAGGCCTTGGTCACAAATGAAAACCCCCTCCCCCAGCAGGGTCCTGGGAGCAGGGGCCAGGTGTGCAGTTCAAGCTCGGAGGAGGCCGAGGGGAGAGAGCCCCTCTAGCCTCCCAAAGCTGCTCGGCTACACCCTGCACCCCACCGAGCTCATTCATAGGAGAAGGATGAGAAGAACATCCCCCACCTGTCACAAAAGGGACGACATGTGACACAGCCCTGGCACGTTGATCATACCGACGATACTGGTGGTAGTTGTTACAGCCACAATCGTGCACTCCTTGCCTCTCCTGACACAATACTGTTCGAAGGCTGCATCACAAAAGACAAGGCCGTGGCCTTGGCATCAGTTGGGCAGGGTCCAGATCCTTCTCTACCGCCTCCGAGCTGTCCAGTCAGCTCATTCTTTTCTCATCCTTTCCTCTCTGTCCCCAGACTTGCCACCTTTCTCGTTCAGTGTCTTTCCATTCATTATGCAAATACATAGATTTTTTTCTTTTTTTTGGTGATTCCCTCCTTCCATGACTCCCAGACAACAATGTCTTCCCCATGAACTTTCTCACCAAATTCCATCTCTTTCCCAATATATAGGCATGCAGAAATTAAGTTTTCTTCCTATCCCAGAACTCAGAGTGACCCAGAATGAAGAGGGTGGAAAAACATCATCCTACAACAAGACAGGGTCATTGGAGAGTCTAGGAGTTGAGCCAAGGCATTTACTTGTCTCTTCAAAATGGAAATACTATTTATAAGAGTGACATCACTGTACAAATTGATAAAAATATCCCCAAAATTTCAAGAAGACTTAAAATCACTTGCTATTCTACTACCCAGAGTCAACAATTCTTAAAGTTCTGATGTATCTCTTTAGCAAATGTTTTCTATGCACACATGCACATAAATGTCTTAAAAACTAAAACTGGATCATATTGTTTGTCTGCCTTTTTTTCCCTTTACTTACCTATTTTGAAATTCTTTCCATTATAAACACCAAGAAATACACATCGCCACCATCTTCTTAAATAATATGTCCTTCATTTAGTTAATAAGTTTCTAACTGCTGGGGACTTTAAAATCCCTTCCAGCATTTCACTGATATAAACCACCCAGGGATGAGCAGCCCGTCGAAGTCATACATTTGTATACACCCTTTCTGTGAGATAGCTTCCTACAAGCGGCGTGCTTCAATCAAGCGAGCACATCTCATAGGTGAGAATCCTTAACTCCAGGTTGCCAGGACCAACGCCTTCTCTACTAACATCTGCTTTTAAGGAGCCTTCCACTGCCTCTTCAGTTGGCGGCAGTGTTCCCTTGTTAAGGGGTTGTGGGTGCCCAAATTGGAGTCTGAGCGGCATGCAGGAACAAAGAGATGGCAGACAGCATTACACTGAGGAAGCACAATTGCATCCCAGGTGCCTGAGGCACCTATGCTAAGTGTTTCCCTGAAGTCCCATCCCCCTGAACATCCCATGGACTTATTTTTTTGAAAGTTAGACGCAGAACACACAGGGAATTTATCCAAGACCATGCGGCAAGTAACAGTGATCGGACCGCATATTGAGATGCTGGACGGACGGACACACACACACAGAGCAAGGTGGCTATCCTGTCATGGAATGATCTCCATCTTTTGGCCAAGGAGTGAGGGTTTATTTTTGAGGTCATGAAAACATTCTAAAATTGACTGTGGTAATGGTTGCACAACCCTGTGAATATGCTAAAAGCCATGGACTCATACACTTTAAAGGGGTGAATTTTATGGTACGTGAATTACATCTCAGTGAAGCTGTTTGGGGTGGGGAGGGGTGTCACTATCCCTGCTGAACACAGCCTTGGGTTTGGGCCCCGACTTTGCTCCTGTCAGGCCACTTCCGTTCCCTTATAGATAATAAGGGGGTAATAACAGCGACCTCTCAGAATTGTTGGGAACCTCAAATAAGATCACGTAGCAAAGCACCTGACACCTCGCCAGTAGCCGTTATTCTCACAGCATCGCCGAATGAAGCACGATGTGAGGCTCAAGCTCAAAACCGGACCCTCGAGTCCGTGCTGGCAGAAGTCATGCCAGCCGTGGTTCCCAGAGCCCACACACAGAGGCCCCTCTGGCTCCATTCTGTCTCGCCCGCCCCATTTCTGGAACGTGTGCTCCCTTCTGCCGCGGGACTAGGGTGTGGAAAGCTGTTGCTTGCAGGGAAGTTGACAGTGTCTGTGATCATTGCAGTGGGCCTGCTGTCAGGTCCGAGTGCTGAGAGCAGGGCCGGAGGTGACCCTAGGTAGGAGGCCGGGCCCCCTCTTTGGCAGCATTTTCTGTGTGAAGCACAGACATGTTTATTTGCTTGCTGAATCCCTGGCTCGTGCCTATGCTGGGGTTCCTGCTTTCTTCTCCAAGCGAAACACAGCTTCCTCTTCTCACTTCTGATCCAAGCCTTGCCTAGTGTCCCCTGAACTTGCGGCTTCCATGTCACTCCACTCCCACTTCCCTTCCCTCTCTCCCAAGCTCAAGACGCTTTGTTCATCCTTTCTCAGTGTAATCATTCTTCAGGCGTTTTACTGGCACCCTTTAGTCTAGGCCAGTGGCTGTCAGCTCTGGCTGCGCATTAAAATTACCTGGGGAGTTTAGCGCCCACGATGCCCCGGGCCCCACACCAAGGAACCCTAATTTAATTGGTCTGGGATAGGACCTAGCACTGGTAACATGAATAGCACCTCAGTTGATCCTAACGTGAAGCCTGAATTAGGAATCACCCAGCAGGTCCTCCCTACTTCACTTGGATGAGAACAGCAGCGCCCTGGCTAGTCTTCAAGCATCCATTGGCACTATCCATTCCTGCCCTCCTGGGACGTGCACAGACACACAAAGTCACACCTTGTGCATTTTCTACAGATATCAGCAAATATCATCTTCCACCTTTGATCATGCTGTTGTTGAGCAGGTTAGTAACAAGGGCTATTCATCCTTAAATTCATTATTTCCAGCCCTTTTCTGCCTTACAACAAACTACTCCTTCAGGACATCCTGGCTGGACATTGTCTTTCAGGATGGAAGACCCTCTAGTCATCAGCCAGCCTCCCCTCCCCAGCCCGACATCGAGCTTGCTCCTTCATTGTCCACTTGGAATGATCACGTTTTTCTTCTGCCCATCAATCTCCCTCCCCTTGATTAATACCATCATCATCCAGATTCTTCACTCAGCCGCGCATCCCACAACCACGGAAGAGAGAGTTTGCGATGCGCAGACTTGAGGGTCTATGAGCTGTGAATTTCCACATGTGGAACCTGTCTCTCCCACAGGACTGGAGCCTGCACTGAGGCAGGAGGAGAGCATTCAATTCCTTTAAGGCTCTCTCAAGGCCAAAGTCAGGGCTAGGGACATTTCTTAAATGCTATTCCCCAACCTGCTAAACAGTGCCCATACTGAGGTGGAGGAATTTAGAGACCAAACACTTACCTAGAATCTTCAAATCGAATAGTTTGTCCAGCACGTGTTTTCCTTGTGTGTTGTATACAGCTACCTTGTAGGTGTCTCTATCAGTGCTCTTCAGATCTTTAATTTTCAGAGTCCCATTTGTTAATATCATGTATCTGTCCATTATCTGCTGAGGTGTCTTGTTTCTTTTGAATTGTGCGACCTTGGTTCCGCTTCTGGACCACTGTATATCATCTACAGAATCACTCATTTGAAAATCAGGAATGTCCAGGTTGATGTCATGGTTCAGGATACCAGAGATGACCTGCTTATTTTCAGAGACTGCACCTATTAAAAAAAAAAGAAAAAAGACAGTTACTGAAGTCGTGCGAGCCACTGCCAGGGAAAGCTGGGCTGTGACCTCTTTGACTCTTCCACTCACTTCATGGTCTCCAAAAAAGTTTCTAATGGTGACAGTGGAGACCCACACATCAACTTACCTTTAGTGGAAACAGTGAAAATCAGAAGGCAGCTGGCTAAGATGTTACATGCGAGGCTCATCTTTGGTGTCAGTTTCCTTCTTGTGATTCTGAGCTCCCTTTACAAAAGGAACTGAAGTGAGACCAGTGGAATCCACCCCCGAGAGCTTAACCACGTGCCTCTCTTCTTTTCTTCTTTATAGTAATAGTAGAAGATGCACACTCACACACACGCGCGCACACAGGAAAGCAACCCCGCTCAAGTGTTCCTTTGCCAAAGCAGGTGTGTTTATGAGTGTGTGTTTTCTTATCATATTTCACTCCTCACGATGACCTTGGATGGAGTTCATTTCCTCCATCGAAGAGAAGAGGAACTGAGAGTCTAAGTAAACCATGCAGGATCGCCCTTTAGTTAACAAGGAGACAAATTCAGCCACACGGCCCGTCTTCTAACCATTCTGTGGCAGCGCCCCTCACAAGACCACATAGAAATGTGGGTGAATGTCCATAAGTGAATAGCCAGCAGACCATGATTATCTATTGCATGGTTACAACTACTGGAAAATGTATACATACAAAATACTTACAAAAGTGGATTTTTTCCCTCTTTCTCAAAATGCATTTTAAAATGTCCTGAAACTGTTTATGTGATGAAGGGAAACAAATATAAATTGAGTCTCAGCTATAAATGCTTGAAATCCCCAAATCTTACATTCAGTGCACATTTCACAACTATACTGAAATTCACAGTTAGGTAAATAAAAATGTGTTCCAAAACAAGCCAAAAATGCGTTGAGGCTATGCAATACCATAAACAACCAGAACAAAGATAAAACATTTTTAAGTTGGTTAACACTATAGATGGTTAAGGAACGGAAGAGTTAAGAAGAGAAAAGGCAGCAAGAGAGGTCTGGGAGAAAGAAAGGGAAAAGAAACGTGTGACTCAGGGAAAGATACAGAGAGATGTGCTGATGGACACAAACAGAAAACGAGGCCGGGAGAGATCCTACTGCGGAAAAACGGGACACCCAGTGACTGATCTCCAAAGTAAACTTCCAGCTTTATGATTCGTTAGGATAGAGTGAGCAAAAATCTTAAAAACTGTGCTTGTTTTCTGTTTCAACTTTAGGGACAAATACAGATATTCTCTCTCACAAAGCTGCCCAGGGAATGAAAAAGTAAGTCAGAGCAATGGGGTCTCAACCACTGGGTAAAAGGAAGCCTCAATAGATTATTAAACTCATGATCATGTGACAAATCCTTAACTCACCTCATCCACAAAAAAAGTTCAGTTGAATTACACTTTCAAATGTTAAAACTGTTTTTAAAAATTTTTCAAAAGCTTTATTTCGTATATTTACATGAAACCAATAGGACAGTTTTAGTCTATTAATACAGAAAAATTCAGTAGTCACACAAATGGGTCATCACACTTTCTAAACAATGTTAATGATAAAGCAAATCATTTGATAGAACTTTAACAAATACATATTCTGTGTTCATAATCATTGTGTCTATGTCATTTGTTAAAATGTAAAGCATAGATTACTTGCCTTTTCCCCTCTAATTCTATATTTATAAGTATATTCTTCTAATAAAATTCTGGTAAAAATACAGTCATAAATTTTACAACTTTAATTTTACCTATTCTGACATTAGGCAGAAATTTTTAAGATCTTATGTGTTAAAATGATTATAGTGCTTAAAAAATAGTATAGAAAAATACTTTCCTATCTGGGTACAGAAAGCCTGCCTGCATATACTATAAGATGCAAAAGTAATAAAGAAAAGATGGACACAATTGACTATGTAAAAATGAACAAAGTGAAAAGACATGACAGAAAATATTTGCAATATATATAAATTACTAATATCAAAAATATATAAATTATTCCTGTCAATCAGTAAGGCCAATAAAACTCAGTCTTTAAAATGGGCAAACGATATAAATGAGTAGTTTATAGAAGAAATAATAATAAATGTATGAGAAGACATCAAATATCACAAAATATATATATTATAGCCATAAAACACTATTTTCACAATCAGATTGTCAAAGTTAGAAAAAGATAGTGATTTAGATTATTGACAAGAATGTAAGGAGAAACAGGCACTTCATGTAATGTTGGAGGGAGCATAAAGCCATACCTCCCATGGGGTGGAATTTGGCAATTTCCACCAAACTTTAAAATATATATATATTTTTGACCTAGTAATTTTAATTCGAGAAATCTATCCTATACAAATATTTGCATAAATGTGCAAAACATCTGTTCAAGGATGTCTGTTGTAGCATTTTTTAATAATAAAAAATTTCAAACAACTAAAATTATGGTATATTCATATTATGAAATACTGGGTAACAATTAAAATGAATGAAGTAGACCTAAAAGCAAAAATGTATTATACTATATGTAATACTTAGTGTATGCATGGACAAAAGGTCTGGGAGGATTCACACCAAACTTTTAACAGTGATTCCCTTTCAGGACTTAGATTTGGAGCAGGCTGAAAGGAAACTTTGACTTTTTACTTTATCAACTTCTACGAAGTTAGAAATTTTGATAATGAACACATTAATTTTGTAATAAGAAACTTTTAACAAAGGGTGCTTAGGACACATGTTTTTTCAAAAGTATATGCAGATCCTGAGAAACAGTTAGCATCTAATTTCCTTGCTTATAAGTGGCTAACTGCTCGCCAGCTGCCAACTCCAGCGTTTCAACACTGGGTCCAGACGGTGAGGTGACGGCTGTGGTGTAACCTGCCTCAGCTTTCCTGATAGTTTTCCTAAGTTTCCATGCAGCAAGTGGAGAGCAGTTCTCTGTTCTTTTTGAAACAATAATCCTGCTCCTCTCACATCTAAATTCTGAGTGTGCAGCATGACTTCAAGGGCAGAAATTGACAAAGAAAGGGATCGATAAAATCTATGTAAAATTTAAAACCTTTGTACATAAAAAGCCCTAAAAATGTTAAAAGACAAAGTACTAAGACGGGAAAATTATTTACAAAATAAATAACAAAGTTTAACATCTTTAAAATTAAATTTTTCATGTAAATATAGAAAGAAAAGATAGACACCTTGATATTAAATTGGGTCAAGGTCGTAAAAGGGACAATTCACAAAAAAAATAAATACAGATGTACGATAAGCCTATGAAAATGCAGTCAATTTACTAACAAACAAAAATATAAATTTTAACATAGATGCCTTTTTCATCTTTTATTTTAAAAATGAAAATATACAGGGTTGATGACGGTAAAAACAGACATTCTTGACTGTGGACCATAGAAATGTGACCAGGTGTAGAGTTTCTGATGGACATTTTGTCCGTGTGAATCAGAGGCATCAAAGATATTTTTATGTTGACCTAGCAAGTCCACAAAAATCATTTTATCTTAAGGAAATAATGAAAGACTTTATAAGACTTGACTAAAAATTTATACCTTATAGCATTTTTAATAAGTCAAAATTGGAGATGATTTAAACATTTGAGAGGAGAAAATTTGTTAAGCAAATCATGATACAGACAAACTGAGTATGGAGGGGAAGGTCACAATAAACAATATAATCCCATTTTTGTTTGTCAAAAAGTGTGTGCTGGGTGTGTGTCTTTTGGAAGGATGTCCATCAGAGTGTTGGTCTCTGCGTGGTGGGATATGGCAATGGTTCTGTTGTGCTTGGTGCTCTTGCCATTCTAATGTTTCTAAATTGAACATATATTGCTTTTCAATTTGATTTCTTTTTAATTCTAAGTGGGCCTCCCACTTAGGTAAAAGCTCCCAGAACTGAGGGTGGGTGGAGTTCCTGCCTTCACGTACGTGTGTGTGTGTGTGTGTGTGTGTGTGAGCTGCTAGGGAAAATCCACCATTGACTCATTCCAGTTTCTCCCTCCCCGTCCCCACTGCCGTCCAGGGGCTGTCGCCTGCTCTATCATCACTGCCTCTTCTTCTCACCCAAACACTCCTGGGGAACTAGACTAGAGGGAAGCGAATAAGAAGCAAAATCTCAGAGATTTTGCTCTGGGACCAATTCCTGTCCCTCACGAGAAGCGGGTTGTGTTAACACTGCGGCAGTTCACACCAACCAAATGTCTTGAATTGGCAGATTTTAGAGCAGCAGGAAACTCGGGAAGCGATCTGGTCTCCTTTTTGCATTTCTGTTGAGGGTCCTGAGCCCTGGGAAGTTCTAGGGTGTGCCTGGCCCCCTCATCCAAGTCAGCAGCCCACTCCCCAGCATCTGGGACACTGCTTCCTACCGAGACTTCAGAGTCCTCTCTGCCTCCCACACCTCATGTACCCCTTAGGATTCACTGAGTCCAGCCTCACCCTCTGTAGCATCCATTTCCTCCTCGGTACCTCCACTTGTGCCCTTATTACACCTTCCCACAAGTTAAGGTGAGAAATGCGGAAAAGGAGGCAGGTATGTAGCATTTTGTACTGAAACTGAGTACGCTGTGGCTTCAGTGATGATGAGAAAGTCCACCCCGTGTCTGCTTGCAGCCCAGTCCTGTTGGTATTCAGCCTGGCAGGGTCTGGGTGGTCACACCAGAAGCAGCATGAGCATCAGGCCTGGGCCATTCTCACCGCCAGGCAGTGAGTGGGTGTTCTGACAAAGGTGGCCTCAGCCACCAGTGCATGGTGCACGGTGGGAGACCTCCGTCTCTGAGAGCCAAGTCCTCTGCCAGGAGTCACCTCCTCTGGGGCAGAAACTGAGTTTTCTTTGCCTTTTATGTTTCCCACCCACGCAGCAAGCAAGAGAGAATCAACCCACAGAAATGGTTGCTGTGTGAAGCCTGGGTACCTGAAATGAGAGTCGCTCGGCCTGGAAGTCCCCTGGGGGGGGGTAAACGTCTCACAGAGGAGAAGGGAGTATGATCAGCCATCTCAGCTGTGTAACCACGTGGCTGCAGAGAGGGGAGCTTCGAGCCAACAGGTACTGGTTATGCTGATCTGGGTGCTCAGTTCACGTTGGTGAGCTCGGCTTCCACGTTTGTGACAGAGGACAAACACTTCATGCTCAAGCTTACTGGGGGAGTCAGACGAGGTGATGGTGACCAGCGTCTTGGGCAGCGCCTGGCCCTGGGCAGAGCCTCAATAAACATCAAATTTCTCTCCTGTTTGCCACTCCGTTCCTGAGAGAGGGGCTTACTTAAGAGAAGAAGGGAGGGGACAAACGGAGAAGCTTTGCCCTCAGACATAAGCCAGGAAAGCTTGTGGTTCTCAGGGCTTTTGAATGCTGTCCAGCAAGAAA